AATGAATTTCTTGGGACCACTGGGTAGTAGGATTAGGGTAGTTTGCTCTCAGGGTTTTCTGTGTGTAGGTTAGAAATTATACTATAAATTGCATGTGCTTCATTTATTTGTAGTATTTATTTAGACAATGTGTTAGTACTTCAAATATATTTATATTTCCTTAGTGTTTTGGCCCCTACATACAAGCTTTAGATAGCTTAAAAAAGGTGTCCCTTTTCACAGATCTGCAATCAATCAATCAATCAATCAATCAGTCAATCTCAATTTCAGATGTACTTGATCTGTTGTGTTTTTTGTACAAAGAGCGATAATATATTACCACATAGTTGTGTAAATAGTACCATAGCAACAGAAAAAACTGTAATCAAGGCTTCTGCTGCAAAATAAGTTTTAAAATCCATCAGTAATGCAGCCAAGTGCATCCTGGCATGTCTGAATAAAGCTATAACAATCACTAGATAACAGAGACCACTGCCTGAATGACAAAAATCCCTTACTTGATGAGCCAGCACCTTTGCAGATTCCATATCTGAAAAGGACTTATTAGATAAATTACATAAAGCTTTGAAACGCACCTGGCAAGCAAAACATTAGTCGTGTGTTCACAGTCTCAGCTTGATAATTTGTAATGATGCATTCAGTTTGTGTCCACTGTCCATACTGACTATACCTCTTACCTTCCCCAGTGTGTTTGGAGATTGCCACAAACTCGTTGACTACACTCCATTTGTTGTGGCCTGTGAGTTTGACATTTGCCACATGCACATTAATGAAATTGGCTGTACCAGTTTACAAACCTATGCTGATGCCTGCGCTGAAGCTGGAGTGTGCATTGACTGGAGAAGTACCACCAAAGGAATCTGTGGTATGTAATTAGAACATGTCATGTCACTGTCAAGAACTACACATTCGTAATTTCACAACTCACCATCAAGATCGCAGCAACGAACTATGCTAAGAAAAATTATGTTTATCATCTCTTCATCTCTTAATAGAATATACATGTCCAAGTCCCAAAGTGTATCAGGCCTGTGGCCCTCTGGTGGAGCCTACCTGTCAACACTGGTACAGCACTTCCCCAACACATTGTTGTTGTGCATTATACTTAGTCATCTTAATTCATTCATTTATGTTTGGACTCACATGACTCACAAAAAGGTTTGCTGTTGTTTCTGCAGGTACAACCAGAAATTCATCTATACCTCCAATGAGTTCAGTGCCATGACAAATGTGAAACTGGAGGGTTGCTTCTGCCCAATTAACACCACCCTCTTCTCATCCAGCTCAAATGAATGTGTGCCCAGCTGTGGTAAGAGCAGATAACCCTACAGTGCGGTAAAGCTATGTTGCACTTAAGAATGTCCCACACTTTTATGTTTTTTATAACCACGTTAAAATCCCATTTTTTATTCTATCATAAAATAAAAGCATACGGACACAGTCAGTATCCTATAGCAAAGAGGAAAATGAGGGTGCAGAGGTCAGCGAACTGAACTTTGATGCCATTAACCCAGTTTGCACCTTACCTTAGACTAACAATTAACGTTGGCTGTTCTTATCATGACAACAATCTATCCATAACTTTAACCAAGTGTTTCACCATAACTCTATTATGGAAACAAAATGTCACTATATATTTCAGTGTTTTGCAGATATGTCATCAACATAGTCTGTGGTTAGTAGCCTGCCCTCATACTGTACATAAGTTGCTGCTTCACCTGTTTTAGTCTCATTTAGTTTATTTATGTGACAAAACAGATTCAGCTTTAGCTAGTCAGTATCCGCACCTGAGAAAGTACCGCGACCTTTGACCACTAAACAACTCTGTGCTTTAACAGACTGCTTTAATGGAAAAGCAATGGTTAGAATCATTAAAAACTGTGATTTCAGCATTTACTAGTCTGGCTCCACAGGCAGGCTAACCAAACCCCTAAAGGATGGAAATGACTTAATGCTTTATACTTTTCTCCTTATAGAAATTTGTCTGCTGCCAAATGGAAAATGGAAATTGGTAAATGATTGAAGTTTATTAATGAAGTCCCTTTTTCTGTAACCATTTGATAACCCAGTAATTGCTGATAATGCCATGCCTCCTGAGAAAATTCTACAACAAACATTGTGTCCTCAGGCCAATGAAACATGGGCAGAAGGCTGTGAGGAGTGTATATGTGAGGACCATACATGGCAGATGACCTGCAGACCCATGTCCTGTCCATCACCACCACCCCTCAGCTGTGACCAAGAAGGTCAAGTCAAGATAAATTACACTGATGGCTGCTGTGAAAAGGAGAAGTGTGGTAAGTGAGCGCCAAGAAGGTAGCAACATCTTATACTGGAGTCAATACACACTAAATGTATATATTTAACACAGTGTGTAATCAATCCATGTTGGAGAACTTGTGTTCAGAATCAAAAGGAGTCTTGAGCTCCTCACATGCTATTTGTTGGCATGAACATTCCCTCCTTCACTTATTCATCTGTATCTGAACAGTGTGTGATGTGAAGTTGTGCCCTGATGTTGTGCCGACCTGTGCTGTTGGTTTTACTCTGAACACCACCATGGGAGTCTGCTGTCACAAATACTCCTGCGGTGAGTGTGTGCACGTTACTGTACCTGCATAGCAAGGTTTCACTTTGGCCATTGTGCCTATTACAGTACATTTAAAATGCATTGGTTGATTTACTGTTTCCTTCACAGTGCCCAAAAACGATGTGTGTGTTTTCAACAACCGTGAATATCAGGTAAGATGTCACACCTACCTCCTCATTGTGAAACTGATGGGAAGCCACTAGAATACACGAAACATAGACTGTGGGATCGTGAAATCATATGTCATCAGAAAGTTATAATATATATGTTATAATCACATAACATTCATAGACAGAATAACTGGTTATAATGGTGAACACTTACGGCATGGTTTTTAGGAGTCATGTGTTGTCAAATTGGCTGCAACTCAGGAGCACTCAGTTATGGCCTTTTAAATGTACTATTCTGCTGTAGTGCCATATACCAAATACCATCAGATTTTGCAGGATTCCCATGTACTAAGACAAGTCTTACTCCTCAGTGTTATTTACATTTGTCACAGCAGCATTAGTCCACACCTATAAAATTTAACAACCACTTACATGACAAGATATGGGAACGGCATATCAAATAGCAAAGACTGGGTGGACTTTAATGATAGAGTGGCAGGAAAAGTTTGAAAGCATAAAAATGTAGACAAATCTAGGTGGAAATGGCTGTGTCCCATAGTGATAGATCTGTGAATCCAGGAAAAAAAAACTCTTTTGCTTCTTTGCCTCACAGCACACATTAATCAACATTACTGTAAATGTGCCAGTGTCAGCCTACTGGCTAATTTTCAACTGCAGTCCTTCGGCAAGTTTTTTTGAAACCTTAAAAATGATTGATGGTTCAGGATTAAAACAAAAGTTTCGTAACCTAGATCTGTTGATGGCAAAGTCACAGTTTGTGTATTAGTTACGTAGTGTTGTTGAAATTGCTAATTTAGGTTTAGGACAGAGTCAGATTCAGATTCATTCCTTATTGTCCTCAGTGGAGGAAATTTGTTTTCACAGTCTGTACAAAGAACACCTTCAACATGAATTCTACATACAAACTACATATAGTACACATATACAGACAATGTACACATATCTACACATATAACACAGGAGTGACATCCTTAACTTAGTCTGTGAGTTTAACGCTCTTATAGCGCAGGGTACAAAACTTTTTCCAAAGCGTACCTTTTTGTAGAGCAGCTGTCTGAATCTGAGTTGAGATGTTGTTGACCTTTTACAAAAGCTGAATTCATAAGATTCCATTTGGATGCATATTTTATTCCTCTTTCCATCCCTACACGGGGCATTATGGACATACACTCTGTGGCCACTTTGTGAGTTATACCTGTAAAACCTAATGCAATCCAATTCAATTCTGCCTTTACCAGAATAATAATGTTCAGCCGTTGACTGACACTGTCAGAGGTATTACTTTAACCTCAATAATAAACATAGTTAAAGTTTACAGTGGTGTTATTCTGGACTGCATTATATTGAGAGTATCTGTCTATATATTGTATCTGTCTGACCTTTACACTCTGTCCGTCCAGGTTGGAGACACTGTGCCCATGAAGCAATGTGAGAATTGCCGTTGTAGTAACCAGACAGATGCTAGCAGCAGCTGGCACACAGTAGAATGTCAGCCTAATCCATGTGACACACACTGCTCTCTGGTAAGACTAGTCTCTCTCTCTTGCCCTCCCACCCTCTCACTTACCTACTTTCTAACTCAGACACACAGGCTCATACACTCATTTTTGTCTAATGTTAAGCACAGTCATTGACCACAGTCTCTCCCAAAGATCTGAGTGTCATTGTAACACTGACCTCTTTTTCTATTTTGCCTTATTGTCTGTTCAATCACAAGTTTGAAACTGTTGCAAAACAAAACAATGAATGATGCAACATTCAGTGGGAGGGAGGAGGGAACATTCAGACTACACATACAGTAAGGTGTCATAACAAGAACGTAAATAAGTGTAGTAGTAACAGTCAAAGCAGCTTGTGGGTCTCTGATATTTATGTGTACAGGATATGTATGGTTGTTGAGCGGGCGGCTGTGGCTCAGGAGGTAGAGTGGGATGCCCGTTAGTCGGAAGGTCGGCGGTTCAATCAGGCTGCGTGTCAAAGTATCCTTGGGCAAGATACTGAACACTGAATTGCCCATATCGACAATATCAAAAGAAAATAAAACCAAAACTATTAGGTAATGCAGTCCTGGCCGAAGCATAGTTTTTGAGCATTACTGCTAGAGCAAGAACTGACAGAACTAATTCAAATATGTGAAAGTTACATTTACAGGTACATCTTTGAAAAAGCCATGCTGTAAACCCAGCAGAATACTAATGTCCAAATCCTGACATTGAATAGCCTCATCTAGCTTGATGTTGAGCTGGATTTGTTTTTCTTTGCGTTGCTCTTCAGGGTTATGAGTACAAGATCACCCCTGGCCAGTGCTGTGGGAAGTGTGTCCAAGTAGGCTGCATTGTCACACTTTTGAACAACTCCACATACATGTTAAAGGTTGGTATATGGCTGTGCATGCAATGTGTGTGTTTGTTTTGAAAAAGAGTGAAAAGAGGAGATTTTATGTATCTATAGGGTCACTAAGGTCTCTAACATCTCTACTACAATAATGATCCTAACAGATCACATTGCCTTCATTTGTACAGGTGCACCTATTACTTTGCTATTTCATCATAACATAACATAACATGATGGCAGGTCAAAATAAAACATACCACTGGATGTGCAGTTGAAAAAAGCTGTCATTTGCAGTTGGAGGTGTGACATTACTACAGGTTAAACGAGAGAATCAGATCAAACAGTATTACATCAATAGAATTAATTAGAATTTTTGCTTTTATAGTAAATAGGAAATGTACAGAATGTTAAGGCACTGCCATCTTGGTATTGTGCAATCAAAATGAAGGAGAGAAAAAGTGCTGCTTTGGAACAGACGGTCTTTATCGTCTTCTACTGGCCAACCCATAGGACCTACACAGACATCCAGTTAACTGCACTGGATCCATACCACTAAACTGTCTGAGAACACATGAACAAATTATTATCAAACCATTCATCTCTTCAATACGAAGAGAAAGAGCCCATTTACAGCCCTGTAGGATGTTCTGTTCTCAACTTGTGCACCTGTAAAGCACAGGAGTACTTTTGGTCACAGGAATATTGATCAATATTCACAATTTTAATCAATATTTCAATGTTTTGGAAGCTTTATGTTATTTGGAACGTGGTTATATGGAGAGAAATAGTGTTTTGAAGAAAACCCCCAATACTAGTGAACAGTAAATAAAACATGGAAATTTGCCTGGTATATTTTTGAAAAATTGTGTATTAGTATTAGTTTCTTTTCATCAAATTTACAGTTACAGGTGTATTTTCGGTGTATTAGAAGATATTCAGTTGCATTATAATGAGTTGGATGATGGTTTTGATGGTGATATTGCAATTAAAATATAGATTTTATACCAGGCGAGAATGATTTATTTTGGGTATGTTATTTTAGGCGTTTTTCCAGGAAATAGGTGGTAGTTTCCAAGTGGTTAAACTATTTGTTATGGTCAGAACAAACACTTGATGCTTAACAGTGGATCACTTGAGGTAAAAAATTCAAAACTATTATGATAAATATCTTTTTTCATGCATGAGCAAAATGAAGTAAAATCTTTTTTCAGTCTTTTCCTCAACAAAATAAATATCTTAATAGAAAAATGAAGTATTGGTTCAAATTAATTAAATCAAACATTTGTTATATTGTTATTGAGGAAAAATATATTGCGATAATTGTTTTATATAGTTATCATTATTGCCCAGCCCTACTAACAAAACTAAAGCCATATCAGACATGTTGTTATGGATGAGAGGGATTCATGTCCCAGTCCTTCTGTTATTCTGTTATGTTATTCTTCAGCCCGGCACCACTTGGACACCTCCTTGGAGCCCCTGTCTGAAGTTTGAGTGTGTGAAGATCGCTAATCAGTTCATCACCATTGAGGCCAAGACCGTCTGTCCTCTTTTCAACTCCAGTGAATGCGTACCGGTAGATTGCACACACACACACAAACCATCATCATCCTATTCTTGGAAGATTTGAATAGAAAATACACACATTCACTGATGACATGAGACACAAGAAAGCACTGGAAATAGACTGAGCACACTGCCATCTGCTGTTTAATGAGAAACTCTACAACATGAATACTGATGTGAACGTGTGTGTGTGTGTGTGTGTGTGTCCTGCAGGGAACAGAGACCATAGCTCCAGATGGATGCTGCCATGTCTGTATGTATTGCTTCCATGAGTTTTTCATATCTACTTATTTTTATTCACTCTTCTTACACAAAAGCCCCATGATGTCTATTAGAGCTAACCTCTCACGCAAAAGGACAAAACCATTGTGACCAGTTGTGATCCAAGGTAGAAGGTTGTTTATTTGTCATTATACAGCATAGTAATAGTAGTAAAAATAGTAAAGGTTGCATAACAAAATGATATTTGTAGTTCCTTCATGAAAATATATACAGTTATTTATGTACATTTAAACATGCACGGAAACATCAAGAACATTCTGCAGTGAATTTTTTGAATTTGCATCTGGGCTGAATATAAACAGCAGCAACCAGATTATAGTATGAAAGGTTCATCTTCACAGTAAACAGTCTGACATTTGGGAAACAGAGTCCATCTTGACTGCATTTGAGTCCACCTCCTCTCATCTTGATGGAGTCTTACGCTGACAGCTCGGAACATGGACCACTTGCTGAGTGCTTGATGGGACAGGTCTTTGTAACGATGTGGACACAACAGTCTCTGAATTCCGTTGCTTGGTCAAAATGAGTCCCACTTTGTCCACTTTAGGAGAAGAATTAAGTCCAAGCTGGGCCAACATGGCTCCTCTCCTGGCTCTTTCCTCTTCTATGGCCGGGTGGCTCATGGTCTGCTGCTCTTTAATGTAAAAACCCCATATTTATCTTCCCATGACTGTATTTATGTCAGAGGTAACACGTGTTTCGGCAATAAAGCAAAAAAAAAAAAAAAAAGAGAAAACATTTAAGTGTAGTGAAGTTTGAAGGAGCTAGCGGCTACTGCTTCTACAAGTGCTGCCATATACATTATGAAGATTTATAGTAACTTTTAGAATGTGAATGCGCTACGGCGCTGATCTGGAATCAATTTAAATAGGCCTAGTAAAATAAAATAAAAATCAGTATGTGGCGGGCCACCACAACTAAATGAACGTATAGGAAACACTGCCTTTCCTCAGTCTCTGCTGCTGTAGTGGTCTGGGACCAGGGCGCTCTGTGGATGTAACTGGCACCGGCCGCCGCCGGCACTTGTGGAGCTTCTCAACCCTGAAAACGTTTGAGCACATTTTCGATTCGCCATCAACTTTGGCCTCAAAACCGTTCAAAAGTGTATTTAGTGATTAAATAGTGTACAAATCTTGTAAAAACAAAAGCCGTTCTGCTGTTCGGCTCTTTCTCCGTTTCTTTCCGCTTCTCGCATGAAAGCTTCTTCTTCGTGAGTAGTCTCACAGTCAAGCAGTCATGGCAGACAGTGGAAGCGGTACTGCCCCCAGCACTTCCTGTGATGGGTTGCAGTTAGAAATAAACAAATGTTCCTAATATGAAGATTTATATCTCTCCCTTAAACATCTATCATCTATGTAACGACGCATCGACAATGAAAATTCCCGTTGTCAAATTTTTATAGTTGACGTCGTCGATTATGTTACGCTAATCATTGCAGCTCTGTTATCTAGATGAGATGAATCCTACATTCAAAGCATTATTGGTGGATTGGGCCTCTTTATATATTCAGTAATTGGTTCATGTTTATTTGTATTGATCCAGAGCTGAGAACAAAGAGGTAGAACAGCTTCCTCCTGTTTAGTTAATTGCAGTTTTGGATTTGTTTTACTTCTCAAAACAAACGAAGACGCATGAAAGTGTAGTTGTGTTCGCACCATCATCTTTTGTTTCTGAGTCATTAAATCAACTCAAATGAGATGTTATTCCTTTTTCAACATGAATCTCCTGCCTGCCTCAGGTATTCCCAAGACTCGTCCCTGCACTGTGTCCACCACTGCTGTGCACCTGGAGAGCCAGGGCTGCCACTCCAAAGAACTGGTTAACGTCACATCCTGTAATGGTGCATGTGGTACCTACACCTTGTGAGTCCCTCCTCATGTCATTTTCCTTATGATCATTTCCTGTTGTGCTTTTTTATCACTTTAAAGCGGCGTTTCCATTAAGCTGGGGGAATTGTAAGAGACAGATTAAAAGAGAAAGGTCAAAATCTGTTCCCACAGAACCACAGAATACATTATGCAACTTATCACAGGCTCAGTAGTTCTAGCCATGAGTAGTGAACGGAGAGTTCCCCTTTTAATCATCAATTGTTAAAACTGAAACTGTAGATTGAAAAGGTTTTGCTCAATTCTGTTTGTGACTTATACCAGATAAAGACCTTAGTGGGGAGCTTTTTCAACTTTCAACTTTGTAGCTCTGTATCTTTCTTTCTTTCTTTCTCACCTCCCTCTTTTCTTTCTCTTCACGCCCTCCTCTCTCTCTTCTCTCAGATACTCTACCAAAATGAGATCCTTGCAGCACACCTGCTCGTGCTGCCAGGAGTTGACCACATCCGAGCGGCAGGTCCAGCTCTCCTGCCCCGACAACACCGAGCTCACCTATACCTACACCCACATCGACACCTGCGGGTGCCTCAAGACAGAGTGCTCTGTGGTGGGCAGAGGTCAAATGGCCACTCCCTCCAGCGCCAAGTCACGCCGACGCAGGAGATAAGGCAAAAAACAAAACCAGCATTATGCATTGGTCACTTGTGTAATAAACACATTTCATAGGACCGGAAGTGAGCAGTCATAATTTAATCACTGTCAACTTCATCTGCATACATAATTTCTCTATTTATGTCTAATGTACTTAGTTTTAGCCTGATAAGATTCCTAACCTATAAAATTCTCATTAATAAAGATCACACTGTATCTACAGGCTTTGTCATGGTGTCTTACTGCATGTGTGTGTAAGTGTGTATGTGTGAGTGTCTATCCAAATTTGACAAACTGGCACAGACCTCCACACCAAACATCAACATGGAGACCAATTCATTCTAATGTAGTGCCTCACGTGTTTACTGTCAATAGCATCACTATACGAGTTGAAGTTTCATTACAGCACTTTTTCCCACCTTTAATGGCAACCTGGAAGAAAACAGGTTGAGCAGAGAGATTTCAACCTAAAGCAAGGGCAAGAGGACTTACTTTAAATGTAAATGAATTAATTTGGTAATACACATCATATTTTAGATCTTACAGTTCTAATATGTAAAGCTGAAAAGATTTCTTTACAAAATGTTCATTTGTGATACAAATTCCATAATTAGTAGTAAAAAGGATAGAAGATTACACTATAACTCACTTTATTTTAGAAGCAACAGTTATTTCAGTCCATAATCCAGCACTGCATGGTGTATGCACTCAGAGCAACCTTACATAAAACAAGTGGGTAATGCTGGATTGTATGGGTCTAATTTACTAATGATTCCCAATAACATTGTCCTTTTAAAGAAATATGATGTCCTTATAAGACCAATGTCATTTTGTATTGATTATTAGAGAAAATATAGACAAAGTTCTGAGACAGTTATTTGATTTTAGTCAGCAATGTACAATTGTTGGTTTTCAGAGAAACAGTGAATATTAATTTATGATTGGAAACTTTGTTCTTTATAAATGTTAAATACATTTTCCCTGACCTGATGTGTACAGACTAAAAGACTGTCTAGGTCAAGCTACATTTTAAACATGCAGAGTGGAACGTTTGTCTCCCCCTACTGACATTGAGAGTAATTACACAACACTTTGGACACATGATATACTGCGTTGCTGCTGCTGTCGAGAGTTGCACCCACTTCAGCTATGGCAAACCATGCTGGTTTGGCATAAAACACATCACTACCGGTTCACTAGATTTAAACATCTCCAGTATACAGAGAATACAGAGAGATTTACCTGGCAGTGATGGGCTGCATCGTGTGAACTCATTTGGCCGTTAATTTATATGTAAAAGCCCCACACTATGGTTTTCAAAATATACAAACTGAACACCGTCTATGTAATTAGTACCCAGTTCCAGCGTTCTTTCCAGGAACCTTACTCAGAATTCACAATCACTTCTCTATTCCTTTCTAGGAAAGATAAATTACCTGTAAAATAAAGCATTACCTTAAAGTGCAGTTCAGTAGAACTCTAGCTAGGCACTATTTATTTTTACAGGATATTCTAGCATGAAGGACTTCTAGTTGCAACTGCAAGTCATGTCCTGGCATGCATGTGACTCAGCCTCGGATACATCAAAGCCTTTAACCTGACTTTTGTCGTTTTTGTGTGTTTTGTAAATTATCTCCAGTAAAACAGAATGCAATACCATGTTTGTTGGGATTATAATGTACCATTTTGACTGACAGGTGTTATTCATCTCTTTGTGCTGATGTGAAGCATCTTATCTCAGTGCTCTCAGTAGCACTGGGAAACTGAACACAATACATGCATGAGGTTTCTAATAGACCCAGCCATGATGTGGTTGCTATTCAATTTTAAACTGAATGCGTGTAAGTAAACACGCCTCCACCTTTACTGTGGTAACACTCCACATTCAGCGAGAGCCCATCAATCAAGCAAATGTGTGAGAAGCCTTTCACCTCCATACAGGCAGGCTGTAGCCACATCCTGCTTCCAGTTTACTTCCCAACCCTGAGTATTTGCCCAGATAAAGGTCTGACAGAAAGATCACGGCAACAATCTGTGATGACAGAGGAGCCAAACACAGCACCAGGAAGCACAGAGCTCCACACAGAGTCACAGACAAACCCTATGTGTGACACAATGCCTTTGGCAAAGGCGGCACCACACTACACACACCAGTCAGATGTTTCACAGGCTAATGGGTGGAGAGAACAGGTATTCATAGGAGTCTTGGTAAACAAGGCTGTGTACTTAATTTAACATTTATTTAACTTTATACGTCAATGAAAGCTAATTGTCGTGACTTACCTCTGAATGCCACCATCACTTAAAGACAGTTAGAGAGCAGTAGTAAGTGTGTAGTTATGAAAGAAAGTACACAAGTTGTGCATCACTGTAAAATCATTAGATTCCAGAACACTTACACTTACAAGGTCCTCAAAACTGTGAGTACTTATTAAAGAACAAGCGAGGACCGAATGAGGAATGACCAAATAATTAGTAAGTAGTTCCTATCTCAGAAC